AACGTCTGACCTCTGTGATTGCCAACAAGGGTTTTGCCACCAAGTACTAAGTAATGTTTTGCAGAGGGGTCAAATACTTATTTCCCTCATTAAAATGCAAATCAATTTATAACATTTTTGACATGCGTTTTTCTGGATTTTTGTTGTTGTTATTCTGTCTCTCACTGTTCAAATAAACCTACCATTAAAATTATAGACTGATCATGTCTTTGTCAGTGGGCAAATGTACAAAATCAGCAGGGGATCAAATACTGTTTTCCCTCACTGTATATATATATATATATATATATATATATATATACATACACATACACAACTACATATCCTTTAAAAATATATATATTTCCCTTTATTACTTTCCAACCCCACCACCCCTTCCCTAATTGGAGTAAACAAGTGAACAACAATGCTTAGGCCACAACGCTTGTGGAGGTCGCAGAGCAAAACGGAGAGTCTCATCTTTCCATTGTCATAATAGTTTGTAGGCTGTTCGGACGCTACAGACGGTTTCGTTAGAAGACTGATTTCCGGGATGTCTGATGGTCTGACAAACACCGCTCTAGCTCTGTCACCTTTCACGGCTGTAGCTCTGTCACCTTTCACCGCTGTAGCTCTGTCACCTTTCACCGCTGTAGCTCTGTCACCTTTCACCGCTCTAGCTCTGTCACCTTTCACCACTGTAGCTCTGTCACCTTTCACCGCTGTAGCTCTGTCACCTTTCACCGCTGTAGCTCTGTCACCTTTCACCGCTGTAGCTCTGTCACCTTTCACCGCTGTAGCTCTGTCACCTTTCACCGCTGTAGCTCTGTCACCTTTCACCGCTGTAGCTCTGTCACCTTTCACCGCTGTAGCTCTGTCACCTTTCACCGCTGTAGCTCTGTCACCTTTCACCGCTGTAGCTCTGTCACCTTTCACCACTGTAGCTCTGTCACCTTTCACTGCAGATGTGGAAGTGCAACATCGGAGGATGCGGTGGATTGAGACCCCATCCCATGCAAAAAAACATATCTCTAGCATAAACTGACAGACTTAAATGGGGATGTTTTCATTATGCTAATTTTATTTCCGCAGTTATTTCTCAATTTTCTTTCTCTGCATTGTTGGGAATGGCCCGTAAGTAAACATTTCACAGTTTAGGCCACGCCATTTTTTTGCAATTAGCATAATTGTTTTGTTTCATTGCATCCAGTGTTGTATATAGTAAAATCAAACAGAACTTTAATGTTTTTCTTTAGGATTTGTTGATGGTTCACAATCACTGAAATTTACATTTTGATTTGTGCCAACTGTTTTAGCTATGTGTTTTATTACACCTTTATTTAACAAGTCAGTTAAGAATAAATTCTTATTTACAATTACGGCCTACCAAAAGGCCTCCTGCGGGGACGGGGGCTGAGATATATACACTGCTCAAAAAAATTAAGGGAACACTTAAACAACACAATGTAACTCCAAGTCAATCACACTTCTGTGAAATCAAACTGTCCACTTAGGAAGCAACACTGATTGACAATACATGTCACATGCTGTTGTGCAAATGGAATAGACAACAGGTGGAAATTATAGGCAATTAGCAAGACACCCCCAATAAAGGACTGGTTTTGCAGGTGGTGACCACAGACCACTTCTCAGTTCCTATGCTTCCTGGCTGATGCTTTGGTCACTTTTGAATGCTGGCGGTGCTTTCACTCTAGTGGTAGCATGAGACGGAGTCTACAACCCACACAAGTGGCTCAGGTAGTGCAGCTCATCCAGGATGGCACATCAATGCGAGCTGTGGCAAGAAGGTTTGCTGTGTCTGTCAGCGTAGTGTCCAGAGCATGGAGGCGCTACCAGGAGACAGGACAGTACATCAGGAGACGTGGAGGAGGCCGTAGGAGGGCAACAACCCAGCAGCAGGACTGCTACCTCCGCCTTTGTGCAAGGAGGAGCAGGAGGAGCACTGCCAGAGCCCTGCAAAATGACCTCCAGCAGGCCACAAATGTGCATGTGTCTGCTCAAACGGTCAGAAACAGACTCCATGAGGGTGGTATGAGGGCCCGACATCCACAGGTGGGGGTTGTGCTTACAGCCCAACACCATGCAGGACGGGCATTTGCCAGAGAACACCAAGATTGGCAAATTTGCCACTGGCGCCCTGTGCTCTTCACAGATGAAAGCAGGTTCACACTGAGCACGTGACAGACGTGACAGAGTCTGGAGATGCCGTGGAGAACGTTCTGCTGCCTGCAACATCCTCCAGCATGACCGGTTTGGCGGTGGGTCAGTCATGGTGTGGGGTGGCATTTCTTTGGGGGGCCGCACAGCCCTCCGTGTGCTCGCCAGAGGTAGCCTGACTGCCATTAGGTACCGAGATGAGATCCTCAGACCCCTTGTGAGACCGTATGCTGGTGCGGTTGGCCCTGGGTTCCTCCTAATGCAAGACAATGCTAGACCTCATGTGGCTGGAGTGTGTCAGCAGTTCATGCAAGAGGAAGGCATTGATGCAATGGACTGGCCCGCCCGTTCCCCAGACCTGAATCCAATTGAGCACATCTGGGACATCATGTCTCGCTCCATCCACCAACACCACGTTGCACCACAGACTGTCCAGGAGTTGGCAGATGCTTTAGTCCAGGTCTGGGAAAAGATCCCTCAGGAGACCATCCGCCACCTCATCAGGAGCACGCCCAGGCGTTGTAGGGAGGTCATACAAGCACGTGGAGGCCACACACACTACTGAGCCTCATTTTGACTTGTTTTAAGGACATTACATCAAAGTTGGATCAGCCTGTAGTGTGGTTTTCCACTTTAATTTTGAAGGTGACTCCAAATCCAGACCTCCATGGGTTGATAAATTTGATTTCCATTGATAATTTGTGTGTGATTTTGTTGTCAGCACATTCAACTATGTAAAAAAAGTATTTAATAAGATTATTTAATTAATTCAGATCTAGGATGTGTTATTTTAGTGTTCCCTTTATTTTTTTGAGCAGTGTATATTTTTCAATTAAAATATAGGACAAAACACACATCAGGACAAGAGACACCACAACAATACATAAAGAGAGACCTGAGACAACAACATAGCATGGCAGCAACACATGACAACACAGCAAGGTAGCAACATAACATGACAATAACATGGCAGCAGCACAACATGGTAGCAACACAAAACATGGTACAAACATTATTGGGCAACAGACAACAGCACAAAGGGCAAGAAGGTAGAGACAACAATACATAACGTGAAGCAGCCACAACTGTCAGTAAGAGTGTCCATGATTGAGTCTTTGAATTAAGAGATGGAGATAAAACTGTCCAGTTTGAGTGTTTTTTGCAGCTCGTTCCAGTCGATAGCTGCAGTGAACTGAAAAGAGGAGCGACCCAGGGATGTGTGTGTTTTGGGGACCTTTAACAGAATATTACTGGCAGAACGGGTGTTGTATGTGGAGGACGAGGGCTGCAGTAGGTATCTCAGATAGGGGGGAGTGAGGCCTAAGAGGGTTTTATAAATAAGCATCAACCAGTGGGTGTTGTGACGGGTATACAGAGATGACCAGTTTACAGAGGAGTATAGAGTGCAGTGATGCGTCCTATAAGGAGCATTGGTGGCAAATCTGATGGCCAAATGATAAAGAACATCTAGCCCTCGAGAGCACCCTTACCTGCCAATCTAGCATGGGTAGAATGGTCATCTGAATCCGGGTTAGTTTGGCAGCTGGGGTGAAAAAGGAGCAATTACGATAGAGGAACCAAGTCTAGATTTAACCTTAGCCTGCAGTTTTGATATGTGCTGAGAGAAGGACAGTGTACCGTCTAGCCGTACTCCCAAGGACTTGTATGAGGTGACTACCTCAAGCTCTAAACCCTCAGAAGTAGTAATCACACCGGTGGGGAGACAGGCATTCTTCTTACCAAACCACATGACCTTTGTTTTGGAGGTGTTCAGAACAAGGGTAAGGGCAAAGAAAGCTTGTTGGACACTAAGAAAGCTTTGTTGTAGAGCATTTAACACAAAATCCAAGGAGGCGGCAGATGAGTAGAAGACTATCATCTGCATATAAATGGATGGGAGAGCTTCCTACTGCCTGAGCCATGTTGATGTAAATTGAGAAGAGCGTGGGGCCTAAGATGGAGCCTTGGGGTACTCCCTTGGTGACAGGCAGTGGCTGAGACAGCAGATGTTCTGACTTTATACACTGCACTCTTTGACAGAGGTAGTTAGCAAACCAGGCCAAAGACCCCTCAGAGACACCAATACTCCTTGGCCGGCCCACAAGAATGGAATGGCCTGCCGTATCAAAGCTTTGGCCAAGTCAATAAAAATAGCAGCACAACATTGCTTAGAATCAAGGGCAATAGTGACATCATTTAGGACCTTTAAGGTTGCAGTGACATCCATAATCTGAGCGGAAACCAGATTGCAGACCAGAGAGAACACTATAGACACCATGCCAGTCAGACTGACAAGTTTTTCCAACACTTTTGATAAAAGGGGCAAAATAGAAGTCTACTTGAGGATGTGGAATGAACTTCCACAAAAGCTCTGATGAAGGCCAAGAGACTGACATGCAAGGCTGAATAAAAGAGATAGAAAGAGCAGTGTGGGTTTCGCTTCGCATTGTTCCCACATACCTGCAAGAAGACCGCTCAGATGTGCGAGTGCATTTAATTTCAAGCACCAACCAAATTAACCTGAATAATATGGCCAAATGTAAACCTGTATATTGCCAACTGTGTTCAGAGGAAAAGGCCCTAGACACCAACCAACACTACAGTTTTAAAAAAACGGATCATTTTATTCAGACAATCTTATCCAGTTTATCACAATAGTTAAGACAACATAAACATTTTTTAAATTAAAATACTGTGCAACTTTTAAAAATGCATAAACAGCATTGCTTAACCATTTGATAAATAAATTCACACTTTTTTAAAAACCTTTAGTATTTTAAAGTGTCCTGGGCTCCGAGCAGCCCTGTGGGGTCTATGTAATGGGTTCTAAGGTCCAGCGGGTTCTAGGAGCGGTTCTTGCTGACCCAGTGGTATTTGTCCTGTCTGGGCCCATTGAAGGAGGAGGTGGCTCTGTAAGGTTTGAAGCTTTTATGAGGCAGGAACTGGCTGTGCTGCTGCTGGGCGAACTGAGGTCCAGAGGGGGGGCCGTGAGGAGGGTAGCTGTCCCCAGGGAAGGCCTTCCTCTTGGGGTAAGCTGACCAGGCTGGAGGGGATGGCGCTGGAGCAAACTCACTGAACTGGAACAGAGCGAGAGAGTTACACAGCATCTAAATCTCAACAAGTTATTGAAAACATCAGTTGGTGTTCAAGAAAACTCGGAAAGTTCATTTGTGTGCATTTTGCATAGAGGTTCCGATTGGTTGTTTCTGATATTCTCCAAGTGGGAAACTCATTTTTCTACAAGGTCTTGAACACAACAAGAGTATCTAAACCCCCAGAGCTTACAGGGCCCAGTTTCCCAAAAGCATCATAAGGCCAAGTTCATTGTAAGAATCTTCGTAGAAGCATCGTTAAATCTCCAAGCAGTTTCCCCAAAACCATAGCTACTAAAGTTGCACTTAAACACTAGTAATATAACCACTGCATCGTTAGATGTGTTTTGGCACTCCAACGTCATTTTATGCACCGAAGATTTCCACTAAACAAAAATCAAATTTTTTTAGTCTCTGTGACCGCAGACCGTCAGTACAAAGTTGCCTACAAATATAAAAGTTGTCAATGTCGATTGATACAAACATAAGATGCTTCAAATTAAAAATGGATGACTGCATTAAAATAGGCTATAGGCCCATTTAGAATAATTAAATATGTTTTATGATCAATAAATGTAGTTCTAGTTTGCTACTTGTAGGCTACGGTTTGTAATTTGTCTCAATATATTTCATGTGTAGCCTAACATCTGCGCAAAGTGCCAAATCAGTGATTTAGTGCATTTGTATTGGGTAGAATAAGACGCATCAGAGTCTGCATCCGTAGGTGGTAATCTCTCTAGGAGCTGATCCATCAGTATTGTGGAATAATTCAAAGGTAAGGTTTGAAATTAAGAAATCTAATCCTAGAGCAGCCTTTCGATCCTATCAGTTGCAACACTGCCTCAGAACATTCTCTCTGCCTGGTGTTCAGGGAAACACAGGGTACATCGTCGGCAGTTGTAGTTAAGATGAATCATTAAAAACTTTTTTTTTAATCAAAAAATGATTATTACAATCGCTTAAGGGAAACCAGAACCTGGTTAGTTACATTACACACTCCTTACAGGATTTTTTTTACATTTTAGCAGACGCACTTATCCAGAGCGACTTACAGTTAGTGAGTGCATACATTTTCATACTGGCCCCCTGTGGGAAACGAACCAACTACCCTGGCGTTGCAAGCACCATGCTCTACCAACTGAGCTATCGGTTCCCAATAGTTATGGTACTTACTCTTAGGAGTGATTTAAAGATGCACCTTTCCTACAACATCCTAAGATTTTCCATGGGTTTCCCCAAAAACACCACTCCGAGAGAATGTTTGGTAAGGGTGTCGTTGAGGCATGCGCCAATACTGATATGCTCGAAAGGCAGCGCTGCTCTCAGGTCAGCTTTCTCCATTCAAATCTTACCTTAACATTAGAATTAGCCCACAATACTGACAACGGATCAGCTCCTAGAGAGATATCACCTTTGGCTCATTCTAATATTTACCCTATAATTATAATAAATATGACCTAAGTCAATGATATGGCATATTGTGCACATTAGGCTACATTAAATATACTGAACAAAAATGCAACAATTAACGATTTTACTGAGTTACAGTTCATATAAGGAAGTTGAAAAATTCATTAGGCACTAATCTATGGATTTCACATGACTGGGAATACAGATCTGCAAAAGTAGGTGCATGGATCAGAAAACCAGTCCGTATCTGATGTGACCACCATTACCTCAAGCAGAAAGACATCTCCTTCACGTAGAGTTGATCAGGCTGTTGATTGTGGCCTGTGGAATGTTGTCTCACTCCTCTTCAATGGCTGTGGGAAGTTCCTGGATATTGGCGCAAACTGGAACACGTTGTCGTACACGTAGATCCAGAGCATCCCAAACATGCTCAATGGGTGACATGTCTGGTGAGTATGCAGGCCATGGAAGAACTGGGACATTTTCAGCTATCTGGAATTGTGTACAGATCCTTGCGACATGGGGACGTGCATCATCATGCTGAAAGATTAGGAGATTGTGGCGGATGAATGGCACGACAATGGGCCTCAGGATCTCGCCACAGCATCTCAGTGCATTCAAGTTGCCATCGATAAAATGCAATTTTGTTCGTTGTCCATAGCCTATGCCTGCCCATACCATAACCCCACCATGGGAACACTATTCACAACATTGACCTCAGCAAACCGTTCACACACGTGGTCTGCGGTTGGGAGTCTCAAATGACGTTGGAGATGGCTTATTGAAGAGAAATTAACATTCAATTCTCTGGCAACAGCACCTGGTGGACATTCCTGCAGTCAGCATGCCCATTGCACGCTCCCTCAAAACTTCACATCTGTGGCACTGTGTTGTGACAACTGCACATTTTAGAGTGGCCTTATAAATAGTCCCCAGCACAAGGTGCACCTGTGTAATGATCATGCTGTTTAATCAGCTTCTTGTTATGCTACATCTGTCAGGTGGATGGATTATCTTGGCAAAGGAGAAATTCTCACTAACAGGCATGTAAACATTTGTGCACAAAATTTGAGAGAAATCAGATGTGCATACGGAATATTTAGTTTTAGAGAATTTGGCAGTACGTCCAACCGGCCTCACAACCGCAGACCACGTGTAACCACAGCATCCCAGGACCTCCCCAGACCACGTGTAACCACAGCATCCCAGGACCTCCCCAGACCACGTGTAACCACAGCATCCCAGGACCTCCCCAGACCACGTGTAACCACAGCATCCCAGGACCTCCACATCCTGCTTCTACACCTGCGGGATTTGTGCCATACGCTGCCATCGCCTCATGTTTCAGCATGATAATGCTGAAACGAGGGCACTACATTCATCCACCTCTGGCCTGCTGGCCCCCCTACCTCTACGGAAGCACAGTTCCCGCTCAGCCCAGTCAAAGCTATTCGCTGCTCTGGCACCCCAATGGTGGAACAAGCTCCCCCACGACAGCGGAGTCACTGACCACCTTCCGGAGACACTTGAAACCCTACCTCTTTAAGGAATACCTGGAATAGTATAAAGTAATCCTTCTACCTCCCCCCACCCACAATTTTTTCTTTAAAAATAAGAAAAGTGGTTGTCCCACTGGCTATCATAAGTTGAATGCACCAATTTGTAAGTCGCTCTGGATAAGAGCGTCTGCTAAATGATGTGAACGTAATGAATGAATGTTTAGTCTTGAACTCTTTGGTTGTTTAGTACATGGCCTCACATGTGAATCCTTAAAGAGATGGGTGGGGCTAAGGCTTAAGAGGGTGTGAACGATGCTGAACGGGTGTAGACAGAGCTCTCCGGTATTTACCAAAACATTCTCTCTAATGTGAGTTTACAAGTCAACTTTCAAAGCAGAATTACTTTCCCATTGTTCCTCAACTGTAGTGTATAATATACCATTTGAGCTCTGATTCTACTTTTTTCCAATGTTAAAAACTCCAATTCAAATTTTGCTACATAAGACCGAATCAATCCGGTCGGTCACAAGTGGTGGTCACGCCAGAGACGGTCTTGTTCTGATCCACGCCGCTACCATTTTTTTATTTTTATAGGTATCTGTGACAGATGCATATCTGTATTCCCAGTCATCTGAAATCCATCGAATAGGGCCAAATTAATTTCAGTTGACTGATTTTCTAATATAACCTGTAACTCAGTAATATCTTTGAAATTGTTGGGTTTATATTTGTTCAGTGTAGTTTGTAGGCCAAACTGTGGCAAGACAGATTTTCTAGCTCGTCCACTGCAGATGCAGAAGTGAGACATCTGCATATGCAGTGAATTGAGACATCCAATGCAAAAAAAACAGATCTAACTTAGATTTTTTATTATGCCAATTAGATATCCCCGGGGCAGAGGAAATCAACTGTAGGGTGTTTTAGGTTCAACTTTAGTAACCATGGTTTTGGGAAACAGATCTGAAATGTAACACTCCTACAAAGGTTCTAACGATGAATTTAGCCTTAAAATGCTTTTGGGAAACCGTGCCCTGGTTAGTTACATCACAGAGAGCTCCGAGTGTTAGTTACCTGGTAGACACTGTTTGGGTTGCTGACTGTTGGAATGGTTTTGGGTTCCGGGTTGGGGGCTTGGCCCAGGGCAGGGCAGGGAGCTGATAGGCTGCTGCAGCTGCTACTCATGCTGGTGTCCCCGCCCTCAGAGGAAGATCCTGATTGGAGCGAATCAAAGCTTTATTTAAACACATTTCAAATACATGTTGTAACACATTTGATAATCAGGGTGAGAATTCTAAACCGTCATGTCTGAGAAACAGGAGTAAAACAGAAAAGCAGTTAAGATTTAGAACCAGAACACCTGATTGGATGTCTGAGGCAGCCCGCTCCACGGCATCATGTACTCGGCGGGAGAACTCCCCGTCACCACAGTGACAGCCCTGCGTCACGCAGAAGGGAACACTGCGCTCACCATACCTACACAGGAAACGCGTCACAACTACTTCCTGCCACAGCACAGTAGCCCATCCCCTGGGGGCCAGGTTAACAGAACGAGCACAGGGAGGTTCTATCTGAACTGGTCCAATAAGAAACACCAACTCTGATGTACCCTAATGAACACAACCCTGGGTCGTATTCATTAGTTTACACTGTATCAAAACATTTTTCAACAGTGTATCCTAATGAATATGACCCTGGCTTCCCAGTTGTCCGCCAACAGACTGGTGCAGTGGAGACAGTAGAACCTAGAGGCTACAGTAGACCCACCTGGAACCTTCTAGAACCATGGAGCCCAGTAGAACGTTCTAGAACCCTAGATGCTGTAGAACTTTCTAGACCCTAGAGTCTGCAGTAGAACCTTGTAGAACTCACCTGCAGGACACTTCCCCCGGGTCGACCCAGATGGTAATCTCCCGTGGCAACCCCAGGTTCTCGTAGCACACAGCACTCCAGACACAGGCCTTCTCCAACACGGGGTCCTTCCGCTGGGCGTGGTTCATACGCAGGCACCTACACAAAACCATTGAGGCAATCTTGCCCGTGTTTGGTGTGGTGTGTGTGGTGTGTGGGTACTGACCGGTAGGCCTGTCCCTTGACAGGTGTGTGTGGGTACCAGTGGGTCTTGTAGGTCTCAAACAGAGCAGAGGTGAGGGCAGCAGCAAACCTCTCTCTGCTCTCAGCATCTAAACTACCATGGCGCTTCGCCAGCCGAGCCACGAAGAACACAGCTGCTGCAATCTCCTCCTTCATCTCTACAGCCTAAAACTAACCTCCAGGTTAAACCGGTCTGAACAGTTACTCTAAATCTACCTTAGTAATCCAGGAGATGCTTGGAGGCAGAACTAAACTGACTGCAGCTTTAGAATACAAACTGACAATTAAACATCTAAATTATAATATTACTCCTCTTCTAGCTAACACATCTGCTGTAAACCTTATTGTTTCTGTCGCCAATCTGTTCCAGATAACAGCCTGCCAGATGAACTGTGTCGTAGGTAGGTAGAGCAGGTAGAATCTTCAGTAAGAGGACATGCTGCTACACACCTCGTTTAAATCATCTGGGTGTGATGGGAGAGCACAGGTGATGTGACTTCCTGTCTGATTGGCACCAGCCTGTGGTACTGCCTCTGGCTACTAGATGGAAGCAGAGAGCTGGTATACTGTTATTGTTATTCACCATGGAGATGGGATATGTTGTCAAGACAGACTCAGTACTGGCCTATATAATATTCATTTAGGTGATCTTAGGTTCAATGTAACTCAGTGAGGTTGTGTGTCTGATTAGGACCCATCGGCTCTAAACTTTACAGGAGTGAAACTGGAGCCCTGGAATGGCGGCATGGACCCCTTCCTTATGGAGAACCAGACCTTGGAGGGGAAACTGGAGCCCTGGAATGGCGGCATGGACCCCTTCCTTATGGAGAACCAGACCTTGGAGGGGAAACTGGAGCCCTGGAATGGCGGCATGGACCCCTTCCTTATGGAGAACCAGACCTTGGAGGGGAAACTGGAGCCCTGGAATGGCGGCATGGACCCCTTCCTTATGTAGAACCAGACCTTGGAGGGGAAACTGGAGCCCTGGAATGGCGGCATGGACCCCTTCCTTATGGAGAACCAGACCTTGGAGGGGAAACTGGAGCCCTGGAATGGCGGCATGGACCCCTTCCTTATGGAGAACCAGACCTTGGAGGGGAAACTGGAGCCCTGGAATGGCGGCATGGACCCCTTCCTTATGGAGAACCAGACCTTGGAGGGGAAACTGGAGCCCTGGAATGGCGGCATGGACCCCTTCCTTATGGAGAACCAGACCTTGGAGGGAAAACTGGAGCCCTGGAATGGCGGCATGGACCCCTTCCTTATGGAGAACCAGACCTTGGAGGGGAAACTGGAGCCCTGGAATGGCGGCATGGACCCCTTCCTTATGGAGAACCAGACCTTGGAGGGGAAACTGGAGCCCTGGAATGGCGGCATGGACCCCTTCCTTATGGAGAACCAGACCTTGGAGGGGAAACTGGAGCCCTGGAATGGCGGCATGGACCCCTTCCTTATGGAGAACCAGACCTTGGAGGGGAAACTGGAGCCCTGGAATGGCGGCATGGACCCCTTCCTTATGGAGAACCAGACCTTGGAGGGGAAACTGGAGCCCTGGAATGGCGGCATGGACCCCTTCCTTATGGAGAACCAGACCTTGGAGGGGAAACTGGAGCCCTGGAATGGCTGATCAGAGCCTCCCATAGGACAGTAGCCTGATGAGACAGAGACAGGAGAGAAACTGAAGCTCCAGAATGGTTGCAGCGTGGACACTACACAGTGTCTGTCTGTCTCTCTGTCTGTTTACTGTAACACTTAGTAATCCAGTTAAATGTAATATGATGAAACAGGCAACTGGAGGCAGAGAGAGCCAAGGTGGAACCAGGATGGTTCCTGTTACTGCTGTTACTACTACTAAAACAATCACCAACCACTACAGGTTATTAAGAGCCTCAGGCCCTCCGGAAGGGGAGACAGAGACAGAGACAATATGAGGGTTATTAAGAGCCTCAGGCCCTCCAGGGGAGACAGAGACAGAGACAATATGAGGGTTATTAAGAGCCTCAGGCCCTCCGGAAGGGGAGACAGAGACAGAGACAATATGAGGGTTATTAAGAGCCTCAGGCCCTCCAGGGGAGACAGAGACAGAGACAATATGAGGGTTATTAAGAGCCTCAGGCCCTCCAGGGGAGACAGAGACAGAGACAATATGAGGGTTATTAAGAGCCTCAGGCCCTCCGGAAGGGGAGACAGAGACAGAGACAATATGAGGGTTATTAAGAGCCTCAGGCCCTCCGGAAGGGGAGACAGAGACAGAGACAATATGAGGGTTATTAAGAGCCTCAGGCCCTCCGGAAGGGGAGACAGAGACAGAGACAATATGAGGGTTATTAAGAGCCTCAGGCCCTCCGGAAGGGGAGACAGAGACAGAGACAATATGAGGGTTATTAAGAGCCTCAGGCCCTCCGGAAGGGGAGACAGAGACAGAGACAATATGAGGGTTATTAAGAGCCTCAGGCCCTCCAGAAGGGGAGACAGAGACAGAGACAATATGAGGGTTATTAAGAGCCTCAGGCCCTCCGGAAGGGGAGACAGAGACAGAGACAATATGAGGGTTATTAAGAGCCTCAGGCCCTCCAGAAGGGGAGACAGAGACAGAGACAATATGAGGGTTATTAAGAGCCTCAGGCCCTCCGGAAGGGGAGACAGAGACAGAGACAATATGAGGGTTATTAAGAGCCTCAGGCCCTCCAGAAGGGGAGACAGAGACAGAGACAATATGAGGGTTATTAAGAGCCTCAGGCCCTCCAGAAGGGGAGACAGAGACAGAGACAATATGAGGGTTATTAAGAGCCTCAGGCCCTCCAGAAGGGGAGACAGAGACAGAGACAATATGAGGGTTATTAAGAGCCTCAGGCCCTCCAGAAGGGGAGACAGAGACAGAGACAATATGAGGGTTATTAAGAGCCTCAGGCCCTCCAGAAGGGGAGACAGAGACAGAGACAATATGAGGGTTATTAAGAGCCTCAGGCCCTCCAGAAGGGGAGACAGAGACAGAGACAATATGAGGGTTATTGAGAGCCTCAGGCCCTCCGGAAGGGGAGACAGAGACAGAGACAATATGAGGGTTATTGAGAGCATGGCTAATAGTACAGTCGTGGTCAAAAGTTTTGAGAATGACACAAGTATTGGTCTTCACAAAGTTTGCTGCTTCAGTGTTTTTAGATATTTTTGTCAGATGTTACTATGGTATACTGAAGTATAATTATAAACATTCCATAAGTGTCAAAGGCTTTTATTGACAATTACATTAAGTTTATGCAAAGAGTCAATATTTGCAGTGTTGACCCTTCTTTTTCAAGACCTCTGCAATCCGCCCTGGCATGCTGTCAATTAACTTCTGACATCCTGACTGATGGCAGCCCATTCTTGCATGATCAATGCTTGGAGTTTGTCAGAATTTGTGGGTTTTTGTTTGTCCACCCGCCTCTTGAGGATCGACCACAAGTTCTCAATGGGATTAAGGTCTGGGGAGTTTCCTGGCCATGGACCCAAAATGTTGATGTTTTGTTCCCCGAGCCACTTAGTTATCACTTTGCCTTATGGCAAGGTGCTCCATCATGCTGGAAAAGGAATTGGTCGTCACCAAACTGTTCTTGGATGGTTGGGAGAAGTTGCTCTCGGAGGATGTGTTGGTACCATTCTTTATTCATGGCTGTGTTCTTAGGCCAAATTCTGAGTGAGCCCACTCCCTTGACTGAGAAGCAACCCCACACATGAATGGTCTCAGGATGCTTTACTGTTGGCATGACACAGGACTGATGGTAGCGCTCACCTTGTCTTCTCCGGACAAGCTTTTTTCCGGATGCCCCAAACAATCGGAAAGGGGATTCTTCAGAGAAAAGGACTTTACCCCAGTCCTCAGCAGTCCAATCCCTGTACCTTTTGCAGAATATCAGTCTGTCCCTGATGTTTTTCCTGGAGAGAAGTGGCTTCCTCGCTGCCCTTCTTGACACCAGGCCATCCTCCAAAAGTCTTCGCCTCACTGTGCGTGCAGATGCACTCACACCTGCCTGCTGCCATTCCTGAGCAAGCTCTGCACTGGTGGTGCCCCGATTCTGTAGCTGAATCAACTTTAGGAGACGGTCCTGGCGCTTGCTGGACTTTCTTGGGCGCCCTGAAGCCTTCTTCACAACAATTGAACCTCTCTCCTTGAAGTTCTTGATGATCCGATAAATGGTTGATTTAGGTGCAATCTTACTAGCAGCAATATCCTTGCCTGTGAAGCCATTTTTGTGCAAAGCAATGATGAAGGCACGTGTTTCCTTGCAGGTAACCATGGTTAACAGAGGAAGAACAATGATTTCAAGCACCACCCTCCTTTTAAAGCTTCCAGTCTGTTATTCTAACTCAATCAGCATGACAGAGTGATCTCCAGCCTTGTCCTCGTCAACACTCTCACCTGTGTTAACGAGAGAATCACTGACATGATGTCAGCTGGTCCTTTTGTGGCAGGGCTGAAATGCAGTGGAAATGTTTTTTGGGGATTAAGTTCATTTTCATGGTGTCAGAGTGCTGTGTGTGGATGAGTGTAGGGAATCAAGCGCAGGAACAAGGATGACTTCAACAGACTTTAGTAAATCCAAATCAGGTAAAGAGTCGCCAACCCAACCGGGCGGCGCGAACAATTACGCACAACACACAGTGCGGAAAACAAGAAAAAGCGCACGCAGTGCGAACTCTCGAAAATACAACAAACGAGAGAAAACAAACTCCTCTGTGGCAAGCTGACAATATACAATCACGCATAACACCTGACCCAAACAAACGAAACTAAATAGGAACACAATCAAACACAAACAAGGGACAGGTGTTACAAAGAGACAAAACCAAACGAACATGAAACATAGAACGGTGGCAGCTAGTACTCCGGAGACGACGACCGCCGAAGCCTGCCCGAACAAGGAAGAGGAGCAGCCTCGGCCGAAACCGTGACAGTACCCCCCCCTTGACGCGCGGCTCCAGCCGTGCGCCGACCCGGGGCTCGGGGACGACCCGGACGACGCGGAGCAGGGCGCGCAGGATGACCCCGATGGAACTCGGTCAGCAGGGACTGGTCCAATATGTCCCTCCTTGGCACCCAGCACCGCTCCTCCGGGCCGTACCCCTCCCACTCCACGAGATATTGAAGACCCCCCATCCGGCGTCTCGAATCAAGG